AGGAGGCTCATCAGAGTAAATATACCATTCACCCAGGAGCAACTAAGATGTATCATGACTTAAGACGTGGTTGGTGGTGGCCAAGGATGAAGAGAGATGTAACTGAACATGTAACTCGTTGTTTGACTTGTCAGAAAGTCAAAATTGAGCATCAGAAACCAGCCGGGATGCTACAGTCTCTTGATATTCCAGAGTGGAAATGGGACAGCATTTCTATGGACTTCATTACAGGATTGCCTAGAACATCTTCTGGTCATGACACTATATGGGTAATCGTAGATCGACTCACCAAATCAGCTCATTTTCTGGCTACTAATATCAAGTATTCTCTCGAAAAATTAACTGAAATCTACATAAGAGAAGTGGTGAGATTGCATGGAGTGCCGACAAATATTGTATCTGATCGTGATCCGAGATTCACATCAAACTTTTGGAAGTCATTACAGGAAGCCATGGGTACTCGTCTGAGTTTTAGCACGCTTACCACCCCCAGACCGATGGGCAAACGGAACGAACCATACAAACTCTTGAAGACATGTTAAGAGCGTGTGCCATTGAGCTTAGAGGTAATTGGGATAGTCACTTGCCATTAGCTGAATTTGCCTACAATAATAGTTTTCATTCTAGCATTCAGATGGCACCTTATGAGGCATTGTATGGAAGAAAATGTAGATCGCCACTGTGTTGGACAGAATTAAGTGAGAGAACTGTTTTGGGGCCAGACATTGTTGATGAGACTACCCAAAAGATTGCTTTAATCAAGCAAAAATTACTCACAGCTCAAAGTAGACAAAAGAGTTATGCGGATAAGAGGAGAAGACCGCTTGAGTTTGAAGTAGGTGACCATGTATTTTTGAAAATCTCTCCAGTAACTGGTGTTGGAAGAGCTATTAAGGCTAAGAAGTTGACACCAAGGTTTATGGGGCCTTTTGAGATCTTAAAACGAGTTGGACCAGTAGCGTACCAAGTAGCATTACCACCCCAAATTGCTGGAATACACAACGTATTCCATGTGTCACAACTGAAAAAGTATCAACCAGATCCTTCCCATATAATTGAACCCGAGGAAATTGAACTCAGGGAGAATTTGACATTCAGAGCTGAACCAGAAAGGATTATGGATTATAAGGACAAGCAATTAAGAAATAAGACCATTAGATTGGTTAAAGTAATCTGGAAGAGCACAACTCCAGGTGATGTTACGTGGGAGACCGAGGACAGTATGCGACGTGATTATCCTCGTCTTTTTGATTAAGTGAGTAGTTAATAGTTATTAATTTTAAATTTTGAGGACAAAATTTCTAAAAGGAGGGGAGAATTGTAACATCCCAATTTAAATTTTAATAGTTAATTTGGGTTAATAAAAATTTTAAAAAGTATTATTAAATTATTATTATAAAAAAAAAGGTATGCAAAAAAAAAATAAAATAAAAAAAATAAAAAAATAATAATAAATAATAATAATAAAAAAAAATAAAATATTATTAAATTATTATTATTATAATAATAAAAAGAAAGAAAGGAAAAGAAAGGAAGAAGAAGAAGAAAACGAATTTGCTTCGTCCGCCGCCTCAACAGTAACAATAATAAAATAATAATAAAAAGAAAAGAAGAAGAAGAGAGAGAAAATAATTAAAAAAAATGTGGGACCCACTGAATTTTTATAAAAACTCACCTGTTCCTTCATTTCTTCATTCCTTGCGCGCGAGCTGAGGCGGAGAGAACGCGAGTCACCGGTGCGAAATATCTAAATTTTAAGGTAAGAGTTTTTAATAGGATATTTAGGGTGTGATTTTAAGCTTTTCAAGACTAAGTAAGTGTTCTAAAAATTTTTCTTAGTCATCCTTCTTCTTTAGTTTCTGAGTTTGTAGTGGTAGAAAATTTAAGATCTGAAAGAGGGATGAATTTATGTTGAATAAATATGGTTTTTGAGGTTGTCAGTAGTATAATAAATGTTCTAGAGTATAAATTTGTTAATGATCTTTGAATTTATGGCTTATGGATCAAATTCTAAACTAGATCTGAAAATATATGTTGATTTATTGAGGTTTAGATGATTATTTGGGATGAGAAATGAATTATTATGGTTATAGGATTATGATTCTAAGCTAGAGACTTAATTTTTAATTTTTGGGTATTTTAGGTACGAATTTATAAAATAAAAAGAAAATTTTGATAATAGAAATTAGTTTAAAATTTGATTTTTAGATTATTAATGTTTATTGATAATTAAAAGAGGAGTTAAAAATTATACTTAATAGTATTA